CGCCCCCTCCTCCTCCTCTTCGGCTGCTGCTGTCCGCTCTGTGTCCAGAGCTCCTCACTGGGCCCCTGCAGACAGCCCCTCGCCCCGGGCTGTTCCGCTTAACCGGTGGCCCTCCCTCTTCCAGCAGTTTATATGCTATGTCTGTCCGTGTCTGGCTGGAGATCCCAGGGACCACAGGGGCCATCCCACCTGCGTCTGTCCCCTCTGAGCCCTTGCCACAGTCTGGAGCTGTCCAGCCCTTCTGGCGGCCTTTGCTCCCAGGGGTCAGCAACCTCCTCTGGACGCTTGGTGTGGGGAGTGCTCAGAGCTGACGGGACTCTGCAGCTCGATCATGGCCTTGGTCCCTTAGGGCTCCCGACTGGACCTCTGAGCGGCCCGTGGCTACCTCCCCAATTGAGGACTGGGAACCCACTTTTCAGTGTCTTAGCCCCTCAGACTGCAGAGATGCCTATCAGGTCCCCAGATATGTTTTTCATTATGGGCCAGTTTGTCTCAACCACCCTTGTATTAATGTTCAAGGACAAGGAAATGGTTGGTCCTGCTTTTTAATTGTATTTTTTCTCTCGCGTGCCCCTCCCCCCACCCCTGTCCTGGCCCTGCAGTTATTCACCCACACACAGTGGGCAGCCCTCTGTGGCAGTTGCCAGTACTGTGTGTCTCTGTCTTCAAACCCTCTCCCATCTTTGAGACAAGCTGAAGCAGCATCAAAGATAGGGGTGGGGGGAATCATGGGTTTTGCAAAGGCTGAGCACAGGGGTTTGCTTCTTAGAATTTGGTGCTGTTATTCCAGACTCGCTGGAGTGGGCAACTTTAAGAGAGGTGTGCTCAGGGCAGATTGGAGAGGACAACTCCTCACCGACTCTGTGAACATCAGATGGTAGAAAACATCCTCCTTGCTTTTGAACAAGGGAGGACAGGGCTCTCTGTCCCCCAGGTGGGAAGGTCTTGTGGGTGAGAGGGTGCTTCAGGAGCTAGGATGGGAACTGAGGAGGTGGTGGAGTATCTGAAGAACAGGTAACATAACTGGGGCCTGGGGGAGTGGAGGCATGGTCTGGGAATGCTTGCAGCCTTGGATCTGGGGAGAGGAGATGGGGGTTCCCAGGGGTGGTGTTAGCTCACGGGTGACACTGAATGGCATCACAGTAATACTGGCCAATGTCGATTGAGAGCAGGCATGGTGCTAAAGCAGTTTGCATGTGTGATTTCACCTAAGAGTCTCAATAACCCCACTTTCCAGATAGGGAAACTGAGGCTTAGAGAAAATACACAGTTAGAAATGAGTAGACTGACCCGGCATTTGAATCTCAGTATATCACACCCAAAAGCTGCTGTTAAGGGCTTAGAGGAAGGGGTACTCATTGGCTTCTGTCTACCAGTGAGCCCTGTCGCACAGTTTAATTTCTTCTTCTGCCCCCCTCTAAAACTCCTCCAGGCCAACCCTAGGCTGGCAGATGATACTGAGTATGTCCCACCCTGACTGTCCTGCATGGGGGAACCCCAGGGAGTTCTCCCCTGGTTATGCCCCCCACCCCCACCAGGATGTGCCCAAGCCCAAGCCCTGTCCTGTTCTCTGGGCCCAGGCCCAAGCCCAGGCCTCGGGCTCCTCCTTCCTCTTAGCGAGGCTCTGGAAATCCAGTGGGAGGCCATTGCTATGGCAACAGGACTAGGCCCTGGCTTTACCTCATCAAATTCCAAGCTGAAGCCAAAGCGATTGAGAAATTAAAGGAAAAAAAAATGTATTCCAGATGTTTACTTTTTATTCCTTATTTTTCCGTGTTTGGATGAGACAGCTCTGAAAGGGTGGGGTGGGGCAGGGATGTGGAAGGAGACGGGAGAGGGAACACTCCCAGCTGCTGGAGGGAGGGAGGGAGAGGAAAGGAGGGTGAGCGGAATGGGGAGGCAGGCAGCCCGGGCTGGCTTGGGGCGGAGCCCCAGGTTGGGGAGGAGCGGGTTTTTCCCGTCTCCCATGAGGTGATTCTGGGAGAGTTCAGACTTTGCGGCCCTCTTGCTCTGCCTGCCATAGATACTTCCAGCGGAGACATTTCCAGAGGGGCTGCCTGGCCCACGGGGCGCTTTGGAAACTGTAAGCAGGGTGTCTTGGAGAGCTTGTCAGGAGGAAGTGGTGGGTGGGTGGCTCCCTGAAGCTCTGGGACTTTGGGGTTAGGAGACAGAGAGTTTGGGAGGACCTGGGAAGAGTTGAGGATATGAGTGCTAAGGACCTCCCTCGGCCTCGGCCTCCCGCTGCCCCTCCTGATGTTCCTGCTTCCGGTCCCACACGCTGCCTTTGCTAGAAATAGGAGACTTCCCTTGGCCCAGCCTACTGCCAATGCCCAACTCTTTCCTTGTCTTTTCTCTCTTTTTGCCCTGGGTCTTCAGCCACCCCAGCTCACACCCCTCTGCTTCCCAGCCCTCAGCAGGGTCTGCCCCATGTGATGAAAGTGTCCACTCTCAGGGCGAGCACAGTCATGGCTTCCCCATCGCCCCGGGAGCTGGAGGAGGAGCTGGTGCCTTCTGGCTCTGAGCCAGGTAAGGATGGGTGCTGGGTGGGGCCAGCTGGCTGGGAGGAGGGTGAGAAGGGCAGGGGCTGCACCCCGTTTTTTGGGGGGGGGTAGTTGAGTAATGATTCAGTTGAGGTGGGAGTAAGAGAGGGAAGGAGTATGGAGCAAGTGCAGGGCGAGTTTGAAAGGTTCTCAGATCCTGTGGAGACCCTTGGGAGCTCTTTGAGATCATAGGTTTCCAGCAAGTAAGAGCAGACAGGGACTTTCCAGGTGATGTGGATCAAGCCCCATGTTTTACAGAGGGAGAAACTGAGGCCCAGAGAAGGAAATGGAGTGCCCCTATGGGGTTTTGAACCCAGGCTTCCAGGCTGCCTGGGCTTCTCTTGTGCTTAGCTGAGTGAGTGGATGATACAGGGTTCTATTGAAGGTTATAACCATGAGTAATTCCAAGGTCTTTTATTTGGCATTGGAATGCCTTATGTAGACGGTAGGTTTCTGGTCTTGTTTTCTTTCTTTCTTTCTTTTTTTTTTTCCTTGTAGCAGATTTACTTCTGTTTGGCTTAGGTCAATATAAGTTTGCATTCCTGACCTGACAGTGGGGAGGTGGCCTGGGAGTGTGCTGGGGGAGGGGGTGCAGGGAGGCAGAGTGGAAAAGCTCAACCAGAATAAAGAGCCTCCAGTGGGCGAGAGGGTAGAGTGTCAGGTAGGGAGAAAGGGGAGGCTGGGGAGGCTGACTGCCTGGCGTGGGCAGGCAGGCATTTGTTTATTGGTTCATTTGCTCGTTCATTCATTCGTTGGATAAGAACTTGTGTTAGGTGTAAACTAGAATTCAAGGAGAAATAAGGTACCGGCTGGGCCTTTAAGCAGATTTTACTTGAAAGAGAATTGGCCGAACACTTTAGGAGTTCGGTGAAGGGAGAAGATGTTTCTGGAATGTGCGTAGTAAATCAAGGAAGGCTTTATGGAAAGGGTGGCATTTGACTTAAGCCTAGAAGGATATGAACATTCAGAAATGGGAGGGTGGGAGATGAGGTGGAACAGGAAACACAAGAAGTTCTGCTTCCTTGCTCTTCTGACAGCTTCCAACAACCGTTTTTCTTTTGGTAGGTGACTCTCGGGCCAAACCGCCTGTCAAGCCCAAACCCCGGGCGCTGCCCACCAAGCCAGCCCTGCCTGCCAAGCCTAGCCTGCTGGTGCCTGTTGGGCCTCGGCCCCCTCGAGGTCCCCTAGCTGAGCTGCCTTCTGCCCGGAAGATGAACATGCTGGCAGGACCCCAGCCCTACGGTGGCAGCAAACGCCCCCTTCCCTTTGCACCAAGGCCAATGGCTGAAACCTCCACTGGAGGAGAAGCCACCCAGGAGACTGGGAAAGAGGAGACTGGGAAGGAGGAGGCTGGGAAGGAGGAGTTGCCTCCTTTGACGCCCCCAGCTCGCTGTGCTGCCCCAGGGGGTGTGCGGAAGGCCCCTGCCCCCTTTCGTCCAGCTTCTGAACGCTTTACGGCCACCACAGTGGAAGAGATTCTAGCTAAGATGGAGCAGCCTCGGAAGGAGGTCCCTGCTAGCCCGGACCGCCTTTGGGGTTCTCGCCTCACCTTTAACCACGATGGCAGCTCACGGTATGGCCCCAGGACCTATGGCATGGCCACTGGTCCCAGGGATGAGGATGGCAGGACCCTTTCCAGAGGATGGTCCCAGGAGGGGCCAGCAAAGTCTCCAGCAGAGTGCCAAGAAGAACACAGCAAGACCCTTGAGAAGAGGTGAGGGGTGGGAGATGGTATGTTTTGCTTGAGCCTTGAAGTCAGGGGGCTGAGTGGGTGGCCCTGTTTGGGGCTAAGACCTTCACCTTTAGCTTAGTTATGCAATGTGAGTACAGATAGACCCCACTCTGGTCTAAATTAAAGGCATTGTCCTGCAAGTGCTCTTATCATTACCATTAGGTCATTGGGAATGTCATGACATCTTTTTCTATACAAAAATAAATCATGACTTCCCCAACAACCCAATATATGACTTTACAATTGTAATTGTCTTCGCAGAGTCGATGCACGTTCATAGCAGAGTTGAAACGTGCCGTGCAGATGGCCACTCTTAGTTGCTCTATCCTGACATCTGGGCACTAACCTTTGGGTCATTGAATCCACAGCCATGCAGTTTGGTTGCCAAGGTTGAAGTTGTTCCTCTTAAGCTCTGCTTGGAGTGAGAGAGGGGAGAAGGACGGAGTGTGGAACTGTTTGGTGAAGGGATATTAGACCCATTTTAGATATGAGGAAACCGAGACTCTGAAGTGAGTACCCACTGTCCCTCAGCACACAAGAGGTGGGATGGAGTTTGATTTCAAAGCCTGTGCTCCCAACTCCGAGCTCCTGTTGGCAGGGCAGTGTGCTGGGCCCTGGGGTGGGGTAGGGAGTCAGGATGAGTTGGGCATAGCCTGTGTCCATGAAGAGGTGTTTCGTGGGAGAGAGAGCACAAGAATACCTGTTGATGCCAGACCAGCCAGTGTCTGCATGGAGAGTGCAGCCGGTCAGAGACATTTGCTTGTGATAGCCTTTGTCAGAGGTGCCCCTTGGGGTGGGGAGCACAGGGTGCAGGAGGAAGGGGCCGAGCGATCTTAGCCATCAGCTGCATGGAGATTGTCCTTAGGGTAGGGAGAGCTGGCTTAAGGCATGGCTGGCCACCTGGCCCCTTAGGCCCTGCTCGGCCTACCGCTATGAAGGGAAGGGCTGCATGGTCTTAGGCATGGGGATAGGGAGCTGAGCAGGGAGCTGAAGGCCCTTGCCCTGCCCTGCCCTCTGGCCTTGCCTTCTCACCTGAAAGGGCTTGGAGTCCTGGCCTAGGACTTAACCCTTTACACAGCTGTGAGGTCACAGCTGCTGCCCAGGCTGGGTTCCACCCTCCTGTCCTCTCTTCCCTTGCTCCAAGTAGAGCTTCAGAGTACAACTTCAGCCTTGGAAAATCACTCTTCCCCCTTTCTCCCGCCCCCTGTAATTCTGCAAGAAATATTGGCAAGGCAGCTGACCAGCTGCACTCTTTCTGGCAGGAGGAGAACTTTAACCCCTTATGGGTTAGGGGAAGAAGGAGTTACCTTCTCAGAACTAACAGGATGCTTTTCCTACAGGAGGGGGGGGAGATTTAACCCTTTGTGTGCAGATAGGGAGTAGGCACTGTTTTCTAGGGCACTGTCTATGGAAATGGAACAGTGTCCATATCTCTAAATAGTTCCAAGCAGGGCTCAGGAGTGAAAGCGTGGAACTTTTAACCTTTGGATGCTGTTACAGTTGAGTAGGGAGACACTTTCCCCTTCTGTGTTCCGTGACAAGCTTCAGCATTCTATGCCTCCACTTCCTGTCTTTCTCCCTTGCAGGAGCCCTCTTTCTGACCTGGCCTTCAATGGGGACCTGGCGAAGCCTGCCAGCTCTGAGCCTCCCACTGACGTGAGTTGCCCTGTAGTGAATCTGAGTCACAGTACGTAGAGCTGGGAGAGTCATCTAAGATCATCTGCTCACCTTCCTTGTAGCTGAGATGGGGAAAGTGAGGCCTTTTCTAGGGCACTGTCTATGGAAATGGAACAGTGTCCATATCTCTAAATAGTTCCAAGCAGGGCTCAGGAGTGAAAGCGTGGAACTTTTAACCTTTGGATGCTGTTACAGTTGAGTAGGGAGACACTTTCCCCTTCTGTGTTCCGTGACAAGCTTCAGCATTCTATGCCTCCACTTCCTGTCTTTCTCCCTTGCAGGAGCCCTCTTTCTGACCTGGCCTTCAATGGGGACCTGGCGAAGCCTGCCAGCTCTGAGCCTCCCACTGACGTGAGTTGCCCTGTAGTGAATCTGAGTCACAGTACGTAGAGCTGGGAGAGTCATCTAAGATCATCTGCTCACCTTCCTTGTAGCTGAGATGGGGAAATTGAGGCCCTTGGAAATAGTGACTTGCCCACAGGACCAGAATTCCCGACTGCCAGGCCAGGGCTTTCATCATCAAAGTGGCTAAGTGTGGTTCAGGCTGTGTGGCTGCTCGTTAGATCAGTAATTATAGCATCCATATCAGCTGCCGTCCATTGAGTACCTACTGTGTGCTAGGCATGGCCCTGGAACATTAACTAACCTATCCCTGTTAGGCCCACGTAAGAGATGAGAATGCCTTCGTGATGAGAGGCACTCAGAAAGGTTAAGTAACTTGAGTTGATCCAGGAACTGAAGCATCTGCCCCCGGTACTCTCCCTGGCTGGACTGAAGGGGAAGAGTCTTTTGTTGGGTTCCCAATCCCTTCTTCATCTTCTCTTCCTCCTTTTGGGATTTTGGGCTCTGGGGCTTGAACTGCACGGTTGACCATGTGGGATCTGGGATCTGGCTGCCTTAGCCATCAGGCCATGGAGTTCAGCCTGTTTAGGTTGGACCGGGAACTGAACCTGGTTCTCCTGTGAGTCCTCAGCCACTGCACCACTGTGGTGGGGCTCAGCTTGCTTCTCTGAGTAAATGATGTAAAGGATGAACCCTAACCCTCTTGCTCCTAGAGCTCTTGCTAGTCTCAGGCTGTCCTGTCTGTCCTGTGATGAGACCTGGTTACCTGGCTCCATTCCCTTGTCCATTCAGCAGTTATTTCCTCTGCTCTATGAGCTGGGCACTGGGGAAACCACGCAGAGAAAAACACACTGTCTCATCCCTGCACTCGGGAAGTCACTTTCTAATGCAGGGAGGCAAATCTATAGTGCTGGGAGAGCTATAAAGGTAGAGAGAGTCAGGGTGAGGGGTTTGGAGAATACCATTCTTTTTTCTTTTTTTTCCTCCTTTTGCTGTGGGGTGTGTGCTTGCCAGAGAGAGATACAGAAAGAGGGAAAGAAAGTGAGAAAACTCCCTCCAGAGGGGATGACCACTTCTAGTTCTTTCTGTATTCTCTTGGGATTTTGGACATACACATGCACCCAGTGTGTTTTTCAAGTCGCTGGGCCCAGGACTTTAACTGCACAGTTGACCATGTGGGATCTAGCTACCTTAACTACTGTACCACCAGTGGATTTGCAAACATAGTCTTTATTTATTTATTTATTTGCCATAGAGTGCATGCACCCACTGAAGAGAGAGAGAAGGATAGAGATAGAAAGTGTGTGTGTATACATGTATGTTTGTGTGTGTGTGTGTGTGTATGTGTGTGTGTGTATACAATTTTCCTTTAGGGTTGTTTTTGTTTTGTCTAGGGTAAGTCGAGAACCCAGAGGGGAAATTTTCAATTACTTCTGCTGGGGTTTTCCTGAGTCGCTAACAATGCCCTTACTTGTCATCTAGCTACTGTGTAAACTGACGATGGAGACTGCTGGGAGTTCAGCTTGTCTTCGTTTTTTATATAGAAATCTATTAACCGTCTTTTGATCTTTTTTTTCTCAAAAATCTCTTGTGACTGGCGTAGCATACTTTTTTCATAACTTCTAAAGTAAAAACAA